AAAAAAAAAAAAAAAAAAAAGAAAAAAGAAAAAAAAGAAAAATTGACTGAAAACAAATAATTGCTAATAGCTTTTCCCCTACAGAATAAAAAGCTAACACTGTCTGGTCAAGATAACTCAAACGAATGGCAGGTCATAGAAAATCAACACTTCAAGAGCAATGCTCAGAAAAATAGCTGAGATTATATACAACAGATTTGTCTACCTGTCTACAGTCTCCTTAGAATGAGGTAACTTAGTCAGTTCTATTTAGTGCAAGAATCCACGTCTTCTGTCATTTTCCTGTTAGAAAATACATAGCCTATTTGAATAGTTCTACTGACATGATAACATGAGGCAGTTTTTCCAACTGCTAGACAGTTTCAGTTGCGAGAAAAATCATTTCTCCAGTGAGCTCCAGTTGGCTAAGGCCATCGTGCTATTTACGCACTGAATGATGGCAAGTTTTAAAACATTTTTTTCTACCAAAAAGAAACTACATAAATAATTCCCTAAAGAAGAATTTGATAACAAGAAAATATTTAGACCGCATATGAACTATTTAATATTGAAAATAAATCTCTTCATTTCTTCTACTGATCTGTAACTAAAACTAAAAATTAAATTGAGGCCAATTAAGAAGGAAGAATGACCTTGAAAAGCAAAATTTTTAATGACTTGAGGACCATGAAGATTGACTTAGCCAGTTCTTAGCTCTGATGAATGATACTAACAGCACTACCAAGTTTTTACTTAGATTAGTAGCACAAATAATAATAAAATGATTAATTTGAGTTATACCTTTCGACTTATTACCTAAAGAATGTGGTACCCTAAGAATGCATTAACTAAAAGATAATGAACTATATATTATGGGAGAAAAGACTGCCCAATTAATGTTATATAAGTATCTCTTCTAGACAGAGACAACAATTTACAGAGAATTCAAGTTTCCCACAAAACTTTCTCCACTAGGAAAGATAATTTTATGATTTTATTGTCATCACTGGACCACCATATTCTTTAGATACAGATGGTAGCATAAGAAAAAAAAATGGCTGAACCTCAGTCACACCTGGGAAAGCCAAGCATATTTTCATTAGTCTCTGGTCTCAATTGTTTAATTGTAACAGCCTATTGAAGTCAAGACAACACAGACCAAATCTGGAGACATAATATCATATTGTAGTCTACCTAAATATAGTGCAGAGGGACATTTGGGGAGTAAACATAAGGGCGATTTAAACAGCAAGGTAAGACAGGTAGAGAAAATAAACTGCAAACTTCTTATGTTCCAAAGTATTTAAAGGAAATGAGGAACTAGAAAACTTCAGTGACAAGGAAGAAGTGTGGGAGATTCTTGATCATTTAAAAAAAATATAATAGCAATTATGTTTTGATGTCTTCCTAGGAACGAGGTAACCATTAAGGGAAAAAAGCACGCCGTGGTATTTTCATTTCATTTTAAGACCTTGGTGTCAGCACTCCTCAGGACAAAAGCTTCCTGGTTTGTATTGTTAGTGATCCCAAAGAGTTAGGCTTCTTGTAGACAAACAGAGCACGTGTGCCCCTTTCTGGTCCAAACACTGGCTCTTTCCTAAAAATTCCGGCAACTACTTTGAGTGGGGGCATGAGTAACTTCCAGCCCATGTGAGGGGGTCACTAAAGCCACCATGCAGACTTCTAAAGGCTCTGGTCAGACGGTGAAGTATTATCTAAAGATCCCAAAACAAAGCAGTTTCTCTCTCTTTTTTTTTTTTTTTTGAGATGGAGTCTTGCTCTGTCGCTCGCTCAGGCTGGAGTGCAATGGCGTGCCCTTGGCTCACCGCAACCTCTGCCTCCTGGGTTCAGGCAATTCTCCTGCCTCAGCCTCCCAAGTAGCTGGGATTACACGTGTGCACCACCACGCCCGGATAAATTTTGTATTTTTAAGTACAGACTGGGTTTCACCGTGTTGGTCAGGCTGGTCTTGAATCCCTGACTTTGTGATCTGCCCACCTCAGCCTCCCAAAGTGCTGGGATTACAGGTGTGAGCCACCGTGCCTGGCTAGTATTTGGTATTTGGTCATCTAAGTCTTTTTAAGTCACTGCCTCAGCTTCTAGAAGGTCAATGTTTGCATGCTGCCAACAAGAGTATGAAATGTTGATCCAATTTTAGCTCCCAGGTTCTAAATCACAGTCCTTCAGAGCAGCATTTGGCTTCAAACATGATAGCAACTATGTTTAGAATGACCACTTGGTTGAAAAACTGCCAGAGACTTGGTGTAACTGACTATTACAAGTTTGCTTAGATGACCAAATACCTTCAGGTTCTATCACTTGCAGAACAGGTAATGAGCTGGATTTTATGTAACATGGGTTCTATGTAAAACACTACTAAATGCAAGCTTTTAGTTGAGGGTACTATTAGGGACTAGTGAGTGTTCAGAGGTACAAGAACCACAGAGAACACTCAGCACACACCACTCATCTTACCACCACAGAAGACGGTTATAAGATTATACAGTTACAATTTGAGTGAGGACTAAAACCCATGGTTCTTGATACTCAATATTCTTTTTTGTTACTTAGCTTAGTCTAAAAATTTAGAAATAGGCTGCACTGCAACTAAGGTGCTTTAGTTTCTTTACTTCTGTGGAAAGTAAAGGAGTGTCCTTACCTTGGAGACAGACCCCCATGGGAACAGTTGGTGGGTGAGGTCAGGGGGCTGGTCCTGCTGCTGGTGTGTCGGGAGGGTGTCCGGCCAATCGTATTGCTTGGAGAGCCCTGAGGTGAAGCAGAATAGGCATCGTTGTTCAAGGGCTGTATATAGAATATTGCTCTATTCTTCCCTTGGTCTTTTAACCCACATGTAAATAAATGGGTAGAATCTGCCCAGAATGGTATTTTATTTTTCAGGATCATAAGGCCAATTTTAAGTGCATATGAACCAAAAATGAATAATCATCATACAGGCACTCCTGGAGTCGAATGATTGATGTTGGTTGTGCTAGAATGAAAGACACAACTGAGAGTTTGCATCTTTACAGTGTTGAAAAATAAGACCAACTCAGTGAATGAATGACTAATTGGATAACCTAGTGAAAATGTAGATGAACAACCTAAGAAAAAAGGTTATACTTAAATACCAGATTCATTCACTTACTGGGCTTATGATGGCCCCATCCTCCGGATGCTCAACATTTACTGAAAGAGGACAAGGAACTGGGCTATTCCATTAGAGCAGGTTCTAGGTAAGGGCTACAGAGAGTCACAGAAATCATACAGACACCAACCATGACCAGAGCACTCACCACACTGGTGTTACTGGAATTCTTGAGGTGGTTATGCAGGAGTTTGGTGGCACCATCCTGGAATGTTTTTGGCAAGGCACCAAGTAACATGGTAAATTCAGGAGTATTCAATTCAAACAGAGAGATTAGCACAATTTGTGCTGCCTAGAAAAAAGGAACCATGATTAATTTATATAATGTACAATAGTGGTCCTTCATCAAAATGTTGATTTAAAATTGTTTTTTAAAAAATATTTTTATAAGTAAAATCATTAATAAGAGGGCATTCTAGGCATCAAAAACAAAAAGCATCTGAAGAAAATATTGTCAATCGTTAAGTAGTCTGACTTCAACCTGGAAAATAAACCCTGGCTTCATTTTAATGCCCTGGCCTTGGAATTCCACAGCATATTAATAATAAATTCCGAGAACTTTTCTTTTGTTGGACTGTACTAGGAAGGAAGCTGGTAAATGGGTAAATGAAACAAAAAAATCTTTTAAATGTTTAAGATTGATCCTACTTTAATAATTCAGAACTGAACAGGGACCTCGGTGTACCCTGAAAGCACAAATTTTCAAACAGGCTGCATTAGGTTATCTTGAGAAGCCACACTCCTCTTTACTAAGAAACACTAGAAAAAGAGTGTAAATACCTCTGAAAAACTTCTACTTTTATACCTATAAGCCAAGGAGAGAGAGTTCTGAGAAGCAAACTGGACTTCAAAGGAGTCAACATTAAAAACGTGCTCTTCAGCCTTTTGGAAAATGTTCTACTTTCGTTTATTAATTGAGTCAACACACTGCAAGCCTGCTTGTAATGACTGTGGTAGCGAGGTAGGCAAAGCCATGAGCTGAAACAACAGTGGTCAGTGAGACTCAGGCTTCTGGCAAGTGATGTGCTTTCTATAGATTTAGTAGCAGGCAATCCGAGCCTAAAGCACAATGCCTGAGGAATTAATTACAATAGTTTTGATTTACAAAAGCTAAGCCAAAAAAGTTTTAGCAAATACTAATTGGCATTTCTTATTAATTTCTAAGAGTCAAGAAAAAGAAAAAGACACAAAAAACTGTTTCGGTGAATAGAATCACCTCTTTACCATTTTTAACCATAAAGACTTTACAAACATAGTCTTTCCAAGGACTGTAATTTTTAAAATTGTGGTAATTATTCAGGATTTTTTTCCATGACATAGAATATTACACAAAAATGTGCTTGCAGAGTTTTGGAATTAAACAACACAAAGTATTTCAATGCTTTTACAATGTTAAAATTAGTGATAGGTCCAGTTAGGACAAAAGTACTATTCTATTCATGGAGAAGGAAAAGAAATCCAAAAACCCAAAGGTATTTAACCAAAAATAAGAATTGTTAATTTGAAAATATAATCAAAAATTACTTTAACATTTTGAAATCATTCATTAAGCACAGCATTGGGCAAAAGTACATTACTTTTTTCCCTTTAATTTCAAATACAGTCATTAAAATAGCTTTTCCACCCAAATTAAATCATAAGTGATCAAAATATTTTTATGACATGGGCAAAAAGCATTATCGACTGTACTAAAATATATTTTTCTATATTTCACTTTGGAAACATCTTAAATAAATAATCTGAAGGAATCTATTTCACCATCAATTTAATGTACTATTAATTTGATATGTATATTTGTATAATAGAACAATTTCCAAAACTCATGCAAAGTAACCTGTGTATTTTTTAAAAACATTGTATAGGTGTTAGAAAAAAACAATGCATGCAGAAAAATAATGTACTACAAGGAGAAAGAAAGCAGCAGCCTAAAATTGTAGCAGGAAAAACACATCAATGCCATCAAGTTAATTCAAAAGTACTGGCACTTAAATTTTGTTGATTGAAAATGGCATTTGAAAGTTATAAAATATATGACTGCATTCTTGAATAGTATGTTTTTTTTATGTGAAATGTGCCCCTGCCTTTATTTAAGAGACAATATTTCTTCCCAGAATGATGTTATCTAATGTCACAAGCTAACTTGAGGCTTTTCATGAAGCAAATTATAAACTTAGTAGCTTCCAAAATATAATCTTATTTTTTATTTTTTACTTTTTTTTTTTTTTTTAAAGACAGGGTTTCACCATGTTGGTCAGGCTGGTCTTGAACTCCCGACCTCAGGTGATCTGCCTACCTTGGCCTCCAAAGTGCTTGGATTACAGGTGTGAGCCACCACGCCCGGCCAAGTATAATCTTTTAAAAATAAGATCCAAGTTCTAGAAACTGGTAGAAAGTTTCATTTAAATATACATTTTTTAAAAAAAGGAGAGAGATGGAAGTCTTACTATGTTGCCCATGCTGGAGTGCAGTAACTATTTACAGGTCAATCATAGTAAACTGCAGCCTCAAATTCCTGTGCTCCAACTGATCCTACCGCCTCAGACTCTGGAGTAGCTGGGACTACAGGCATACATCACAGTGCCCGGCCCAAGTATCCAGTGTTTAAAGGATTTTATATCACAGTTTTACAAGAAATTAGACTGTTATGGTTTTCAAATATTTTATTTCCAACCTTCTGAATTCGTGATAGGTTAAAATATGGAATCCAAGCAAGAGGAAAACTGGGTTATATTTATCACTACCATCAATGATACGGTCTCATTAAACAAGCAATTCCAGATATGGAGCTAAGTTGGAGAGATGCATTTAGAAAAAGCCTGGGGCATCGCTCATGTTCACTAGTGACTCAAAAAGCGGAGTATGCCACTGTTCTTGTCTGCGTATCTGCGCTGTTGTCTTTGTAAGAGGCAAGACCATTAAGCAGCCGCATGAAATACTGACTACTACTGACATTTTCTAATGGGCAACCCTGGTGCAATTTATTTTAAGGTTCAATGGCAACTTAAAATGAAATGATTCTCACACACATCCTCACTGAAGAATTTTTTTTTTTTTTTTTAAAGATAGGGTTTCACCATGATGGCCAGGCTGGTTTGGAACTCCTGACCTCAGGTGATCCACCCACCTCGGCCTCCCAAAGTGCTAGGATTACAGGCATGAGCCACCACGCCCAGCCTCTCATTGAAGAATTTGAGGGGTGGAGTTTGTAAAAGGTTCTTCACATCTCACTGTTACTATCTGAAGAGAACTCCCAGGGACATCAACTGTCTTGAATGTTGTACACCTTATAGCAGAAAGGAATTCTTCCTAGCAGATCAGGGCAAAATAACGCTTTGCCAAATACTTCAGTGTTACCAATAATTTGGGAAAACAAAGTTTAAGAGGAAAAGCGGAGTTTTCCAATTTATTAAACAACTCACTGTTCCCTTCATACTGTCATTAAAAATTGCTTCATAAAGACACCAAAGAGAATCTATTTCAAAACTGTCAGACATTTCTCATCTGGTATCTCTCTCTCTTTTTTTTCTTTTTTTTAAGAGATAGGGTCACACTATGTTGCCTAGGCTGGAGTACAGTGGCTATTCCCAGGCGTGATCACTGTGCACTGCAGCCTTGAAAATCCTGCAATTCTCCTGCCTCAGCCTCCCAGGTAGCTGGGACTACAGGCATGTGCCACTGTGCCAGCCTACTATCTCTCCTTTTTACTCTTCTGTTAAAATATGGTATTTGTTGACACAAACATGGCTATTCCACTGAGAATGTAGTTAATCATAAAACACACCACCATTGACACAGGCACACATATACACACTCATATAGTATTAATTTTAGGTTTCTCAAAAGCTTCCCAGTGCCTTCTCAAGGGCAGCTGGTATTAATAATCTAAAAAGCAAACAGTGAAGTGTGCTGTTTGAAATTAGTACACAGTTTTCAATCTACCTGTTTACAACTTTCTTCCAAGTTTCCTTCTCCAGGCCCAGAGCAGGTTGAAGCTGACCTAGTGGGGAAATCCTCACCTACTCGACTACGCTGAAGCGAGGACTGGCAAACAGGAAAGGTGGGAGGATTGAATCAGAGAGAAGCAGAAAGTGCCTAACCATGGCAATCTGTTAGCTGTAAAAGCATTTGGCTTCTTAGATAAAGTCAGTGAGACACACGTGATTGAAAGCTAGGAAGAATCAGAATATTAACAGTAGCCACCAGTTTTAACCCTCAGTAGTATCATTAGGTCTTTTACTTAATAATCCTGAAAGTAGTATTCTTGCTTCAAGTGATGAAATGGAAGACGTCAAAACAAGACTTGAAAGAGGCCAGGTGCCGCGGCTCATGCCTGTAATCCCAGCACTTTGGGAGGCCGAGACAGGCAGATCACCTGAGGTAGGAGTTCGAGACCAGCCTGGCCAACATGGCGAAACCCCCATCTCTATTAAAATACAAAAATTAGCTGAGCATGGTGGCACGTGTCTCTGATCCCAGCTACCCAGGAGGCTGAGAGAGGAGAATCACTGGAACCCCAGAGGTGGAGGTTGCAGTGAGCCGAGATCATGTCACTGCACTCCAACCTGGGTGACAGAGCGAGATTCCATCTCAACAATAACAACAACAACAAAAGACTTGAAAAAGACTCATTCACAGTTAAGCTGAGATTCAGTTATTTGATAGTAAAACCCTTAGCTTTCAGAATAGAGGCATGCTGCCTTTATAATCATGTATTTTTAAAAAGTCAATTAGAAATCTTACCTTTTCAAGGCTATTTATATAGTAATACTTCTCCCTCCTCTAGCCAACAGCATCTTTATAATTCTAGGTTTCTTTGCCATGCCTTCACTGCCCACACTTCTTAAAACAAGGTTTGGTGGGCTAAATCTTTTGCTTCATTTGACAAAGAGAATCACATATAATAAGCAAACATACAGGCATTCTAAATTCCAAAATGTAAACATACAATTAAGTGGCAGAGGCAGAAATCAAATGGAGGTCAAACTCCAGAATCCACCTTTTTTCTATCAGTAATATATTTTATTACCTCACGTCAACAAGGTGCATTAAGAAAGGCTAGTGTACGTCTGCATAGTTACATCATACAACTAAACCAGCCGGGGTCCCACAATGAGGAAATGGAAGAGTTGACTTTTGGAATAAAGCAAGGCAGTTATAGACTGGGTTGGGCTTTTTCATCTTGTCCAAACCAGCCTCAGTGAGGTAAGCACACCTCACGGGTGACTGTGTTTTGGTTTTAAAAACATCTTAACAATTTAAGCACCCCTCCCACCACAATGTGAAACACCACGACATACTGAGCTAAGAAGAAAAACAAAATATTTAAAAAAGCTAAATTTAGTCAATGAATTTGGGCTATTATCAACTTGTATCTGTCTAAAATGCTTCAAAAGTGCTTTCACAAATATAGTTGTATGGACTTAGAGAGTGAATGATGTTGTCTGAAAAAGTCCTCAGGTACTGTTTACATAAAATATTCTCTAGAGATGAGTCTAACATGAGAATTTACTGTATACATTTCAGACTGGAGGGCTCTTCTGCATTTAGAATATAACCCTACCCTAAAACAATTAAAGCAGGACATTAACAGAACTTGGTTTAAGAACACAACATGCTTTAAAAATCACCAAGATATCCATAATCCCTGATATAACCTTAAAAAACTCTGGAAATGAAGGATGAGGCAGAACAAAGTTTATTATACAGACATGTATTTTACATTTAGTGTGTTAAATTAGCTAGATAGGAATGGTCCTAGTTTTATTTTTATACAGCTTTAAAATGGTAATGATAATTTTAGATCTCAGAACAGTGATACATAGTATATCACAATTTCTAAGTATTTTAATTTGCTTAGGCACTACATTCATTTTGACAATGCTTCAAGAACATCTCATATTCTTGGGTAAGGCAGCTGCATCACTTACAAAAGCAACTATATTTATAAATGTCCAATGGATAGTACATCAAAACAGGGAATTTAAATAAAAGTGAATATACCTCCAAAAAAGATTAATCTACAGTGTCCTAATGTAGAGTTTGAGGACATCTATTCTAATACTATGCTATGATATGCCTATTTGAATCAAATAGTAATGCTTTACTAGTCAGCGCTGAATGCCTACTGAAAGCCAAATAGTTTGAAGACACAAACATCTTGGATGATTAAAAAAAAAAAAAAGAAAATCTAGAGGGTGCCAGAATGCAGACATGCATCTGATAAGTAAGTTGAACCGTATCACAATTTGCAGAGATAGGTAAAAAAGCTCCCTCCTAAAATAAGAGCGAGGGAATTATCAAGTAACTACGAAGCCTTCTGCCAACCCACTAAAAGAGACACCAAAGCCCTGGCGGTCAAGACACTATGATGACCCCCAAGATTCTCCAAAATGTATTGTGCCCTATATAATCCCTCCCACCCTCAGAGTGAGCGGGACTTGTGAATATAATGGATATCATCCCATGATTGTGTTACATGGCAGAAGGGATTTTCAAAAATGCAATTTAGGCCCCTGATCAGTTGACTTTGAGTTAATCCAAAGGGAGATTATCCTGGGCGGGCCTGACCTAATCAGGCAAGTCCTTAAAAGGCATCAGAGAGATTCAAAATGAGAGAGATTCTATGGCTGGCTTTGTTTTAATTTCGCCTTTGTTTTTGAAGAAGAGTCTTGCCAAATGGTGAATTCTTGGCTGACAGCTTTTTGTCTTTCAGCCCTTTCAATGTCATCCACTCCCTTCTGTCCTCTGTGGTTTCTGATGAGAAATGAGCTTATAGTCTTATCGAGGATCCCGTGCATGGGATGAGTTGCCCCCTCCTGCTCTTTCAGGACTCTCTCTTTGGCTTTCAACAGTTAGATACGATGTGTCTGCGTAGTGGATCCTTTTATTAAAAAATCTTAGTTTGTTGGGCTGTTTCTTAGGCTACTTAGATGGGTAATGTTTTTCATCAAATTTGGGGAGCTTCTTAGATATTATTTCTTCATATATTCTACCAATGGCTTGAAACAAGCAAACTTCCTGGCAGCCTCTACTAGCTGAGAATGGCTCCCCGTTGATATTCAGCAAGAAAGCAGGCAGCTCAGCTCTACACCTGTAAGAGGCTGGAATCTGCCAAGAGCCAATGAGCTGGAAGAAGACCTCAGCCTCATATGAGACTGCAGATCCAAATGACATCTTGATATCAGTCTTTGAGACACTAATCAGAAGGCCCAGAGAACACACGCCAGATTCCTGATTTATTACTGTGAGATAATAGATCTGTCTTGTTTCAAGCTAAATAAGTAGAAGTTTGTTATACAATAGATAACAAATAAAGAAGTCAAAAGAAGGAAACTTTCAAAACTATAGTTTAAAAAATGATGGCTTCAAGTATCATTTGAAGTGAAATCATTTCCATATGGGTGTTTATCATTCATTAATTCATTCAAAATATCTATTAAAGCCTACTATGTTACTCCAGGTATATGCCAGGCACTGAGCATGCAGAGTGAGTAAAACATTCTCCTTACTGCTCAGCTTCCCAAACCCTCTGTTTCAGTCTATTTCACTGTTCCAGACAAACCTCATTTCTTACACATGACTACTGTCCCTCCCCTAAACTCATCACTTATGCAAACTGCATCCATATTCCACATCTGAGGATGAATCTTGTCTTCTCTAGGAAGCTTTCTATGATCAATACAGAGTGCACTGAGCTGACAATATACAGAAAACCAGGCAGGTATTCCATCAGTTTGAAGAAGGTGCCCAGGGTAACAGGGCCCTAACCACTAGAATGGGTTTAGAGGAAGCACAAGAACTCTAGGTACAAGGTAGGAGGGAGGTGGGGAAGATGCCAGGGAACAGAGAGGCCAAGCCTAGTCCTGAAGATACTATGAAGCAACACTGCGTAGCAAGGGAACTTGCAGCAACCAGATCAACACTGTATCAGCAGTGTGTATGTCTTGAGGTTCATTCCAGGGCCATGGCCCAAAATCCTGGGCCTTGTCTGCATGAAAAATCAGTCATGAGTGAAAGAAGCCCCAATCAAAAAAACAACAGAGTGTCTAGGCTCTACCCTATACCAACTAAATCAAATTACTTGGGAACAGAACTCAGAAATCGACATCGATTTTAATTGCAGCCAGGACTGTGAACTTAATCTAAATCTTCTCAAACTCCTCTGAAGATCAAGATCATTGTCCTAGAACCTGAGTGTAAGTTAGGTGTCAAGGTGAGGAGTTAAGCAGACCTCACAATGGGCAAGGAGAAGAAGGGGCAGGCATGGAAAGCAGCATGGCGGCAGAGACAAAGCTTTGTGAAGTAACACTGTATAATCCAAAATAACTGGAAACAAGTGTTGAAGCTCATTCAAACAGTAAATGAACGAAGTGATTTCTGGCAATAAATCTAATTTCCTATTTATATTTGGCTTGAGCTAGGATTAAAATAAATTGAGGTTTTTGGAGCCTCTGGCTGATAATTTGAAATTGTATGTAATGTTCTGATTAGAACAGTAAGGACAATAAGTCTTAGTTCAAATATTCTAATGTGCATGTCCACAGAGAGTAGGCATTAAGATCAAAGCTAGTTTGTCCCACACAGGCCCTAATTGAGGTAATATGTGAATCTAAAACATGTTTCAACCCATAGCAGGCAATACTTAAGTAACATTCCTTTGCAAAAGCACATACTCACATATCACATGCATACTTATGTGCCACATATTGGAAGATGTTTGCTCTTTTTAAAGAATCTATTACATCTTATTAAGCTTTTCAACCACATTTTACGATCAGGGACCCTGCAGCCAGCTAGCCCTAGATCTGCAATTTAATCTTTAAAGTACATATTACAAACTGATATAAGGAAAACAAACATCTGTGTAAAAGGCACTAATTTACTAGTGATTTCGTATTACAAAATACATAAAATAGATGCCTGTGAAAACCATAAGCCAATCGTGCAACATTTCAGATTTTCATTTTTATATTCAAAACTAGGCAGAGCCGGAGAGAGAAAAGGGCAACAGCAGAGCCTTAGTGACAAAAGTTTGTGGGTGGGTGGTGTGGTTTGCAAGTTTCTAAATACATTTCTCTAACACAAGCCCAGGAACAGTCTGTAATTACACATCAGCTCTCTTGGACATACCTTTCTCACGTCTGAACTCTTTGGTTCTGTTGTCCAGGTTATGATTCTAGAAACAGCAAGCCTTGTCTCACTAGAGTTTACAAAATCTGTTGGATCCATCTGTCTGGCCAGAGACTCAATATATTTCAGGATTGCAACTTTGACCTGAAAGAGCCAATAATTATAAACATTAAGTACACTTGATGAATCTTTGAAAAGAATTCTTATCAGGTACCAGAGAAAAGTAAACCCTGTTGAGGAGAACCTCCTTCTGTTCTCCTGGATTTGTTTCCACATGGAGCAACATCTAACAGGGGAAAAGCATGAAATGACTGATGGGTAAGTTAAGGGACAGGAAGGGGCACATGGCTCAGTCTCCTTCATTGTTAGGTGCCTGTAGAGAAGCATGCTCTGCTCCTCATCTATGCTGCAAGACACTTCCAGGGCAGGAGCCCACGGGATTTCTAGCTCTGCCACTGACCACAGGGCAGGTTCAACTCTAGTTCTGCCACACATTCTAAGCCATGTTCTATAAGGCAGCACTTTCAGTAATCCAGCTCATGTTCTGCCCTAACTTTACCATCAACTTCTCAACTAGTTCTGACCTCAGGAGAAAAAGGTAATTATTAGGCTCATCCTAAAACCTCCAAAAAGTTAATGATCTGAGAACAGACGATGACGTGACCTAATTCAAATTAACACACATCCTCCCTCAAATTTGGTCTTGTTACTATAGGTAAGATTTTCCATAACATGTAACAATTCACTTTCACATCTTAGAATGTTAGTATTAAATATTCCAATAAGATACCTATCTCTACACACTAGAATGTCTTAATTTTCTAGTTTAAATATTACTTGTGCAAAAGACTAGTACTGCCCAAATGTTGGTAAGGATGTAGGAAAACTAGAGCTCTCATACACTGCTGGTAGGAATACAATATGGTACAACCATTTTAGAAATTTCTTATAAAGCTAAACATATACCTACCCAATAAACCAGCAAATACACTGCTAGGTACTTAACCAAGAGAAACAGGAACATATCCACAAAGAGTCAAACAGGAATGTCACAGCAGATTTATTCACAATAGCTAAACATGAGTCAAGTATAAACAAAAGTAAATTTAAGCAAATTTGAGTTCCAGGGTTGAATTGTAATGACAAGTAATTACTGACCTTGAGGTTTGGAGTTTGAGTTTGATCCACAATAAATCTCATCAAAATGTTAAATTGTTGATCAAATGGAAAGGAGTCCCTAGGTTGGGGCGGGGGAAAAGTGCTCATTTTTAAAGAAATTTATTACAAAACAATATCAAACTATTTAACAAAAGCATACCATTATAGATTAATATATGTAAAACCCTGTTCACATTTTTAATAAATAGTGCTTTTCATTTTATGTAAAGTAATACATGTTATACAGAAAACCTGGAACAAGGAAAATCTTGTTTCAAATCCCCAAACATAAACTGAACTTACTCTGAACGGCTATTTAAAAAATTAAGACTAAGCAATAAACTAAGGAAGAAATTTCTACCTGCCTTTCTAGAGATTTGCTCATTTTCCCTCCAGCTACCTTTCTGGTTATTGATTAAACATAAAAATCACTTCTGATACCCAAATCTCATTTTTACATCCTGACTGGGCTGCTTACGGCTAACCCTGACTAAACTGTATTGTCATCCTTGGTCCTGGTCACTGCTTAGGGTCCCTGTATACCACAGAATAATGCCTGTGAGACGGCAACAAAACATGTCCCGTCCAGCTACAAATCACACACAGAAGCCTGGTGTCCCAGGAGCCCCTTCTCTTGATCCATTTCTTGCCTGTTACTGATCTTATTTCTTTTTTTTTTTTTTTTGAGACTGAGTTTTGCTCTTNCAATGGCGCAATCTCGGCTCACCGCAACCTCCGCCTCCTGAGTTCAGGCAATTCTCCTGCCTCAGCCTCCTGAGTAGCTGGGATTACAGGCATGCACCACCATGCCCAGCTAATTTTTTGTATTTTTTCTAGTAGAGACGGGGTTTCACCATGTTGACCAGGATGGTCTCGATCTCTTGACCTTGTGATCCACCCACCTGGGCCTCCCAAAGTGCTGGGATTACAGGCTTGAGCCACCGCGCCCGGCCTACTGATCTTATTTCTTGTGGTCATCATGCATCTGTGATCCAATCAAGTAACCCTCATGGGCTCTCAGCCAGAGAGTCAGTGCTCTTTCTGTTAAAATGCTGTAATTACTAGTATTAGTTTAAAATTGCACAATGGAGCCCCATGTGGATAATGGTGACATAATTTCCATATTCACAGGAAAGATAAATGCAAGGCAAATATCTACATTACTTTCTTTGGACTCTCTTAGAGATTTTTCCCAATCTACATAAATATAGTAAAATAAGTAAAGAAACAGGTTTGACTCTCTAAAATGAAGCAAATAGAATTGATTTGAAAAGTAAATAAATTCATACAACAAAAATAAAAAGCACATGGCACATATTAGGTACCAGTGTCATCATCCTTATAATTATTAATAAAAAGTAAACTTGATCCAATAGTACCCCTTCCTCCCACCGTCTAGTTGCATCTTGGAATCTTTGAAGATCACTTCGAGAAGGAAAACATACTTTAGTATAGATGATTTAAGTAACTATGTCAACAAACCACACACAAAATATCTCTCCCTTCTTCTGGCAGCATGGGGTGGATGGAGAATACATTTCAATAATGAGAATGTATCATCAGGAAACATGCCATTGTTAGGTACAGCCAAAGGAAAGGAAACTGAGGCAGATTAGCACTCAAGTCTATAAACCGAGAAGCAATTCTCAGCCATCACTAAAACCTCCTATTAATAGTCACTGACTGATTCTAGATCAGCTTAAAGAGCTATGCATCTCAACTGCTGAGAAAAAGAAGAGAATGTTAAAAATGCTTTAGGCACTCAGACCAAATCTACTGAGATTACGACTCTTAAAGGAAAACTAACAGGAGGTCACGACTGTATTCCTTAATCAACAAAGTTTAGGAATATAATCTTAATATTCCTACCATTCTCAAAAATGTAAGTGGATCTGGTCATTGGTACATTCACCCTAATTAAGCAATCTACAGGCCAAGCCTGGCTTACGTGTGTTTTATTTGGCCTTCATGGTATCTTAAAAAATTCTCAAATATGTTGCCCAAATCCACATTTCTGATCTTTCTTGAAAAGTCTGGTACTACTGAGCCCATGTCCCAACATGGCCACAAGTGGCCCCAGCCTATCAATAACCCTCCTCTCTACTCCACTTAATGATACCAGCTTATCAGCCTAGCCCCTCAGTCAATCTGGGCTACACCTTTATAATCCATTGGTATAATGGTGTACTGTAATGCTCCCTAACTCCACTAAAATTAACCATGCAAAGGAATGACGAAGTTTCCAAGCTTTACTGCAAATGTAGTATGTTACTTTAATTTTATTTATTTTATTATTACTTCTTTTTTATGGCCTCACCAACAGATGCAAGTACATTACTTTGAGTTCACTGAAAACCAGAAGGTAAATCTCTCTAGATAATAGAATTCTATAGCAATGCAATCACACAGATTGACAGGGTCAAGGGCCATAAGAAAACAGTTGGCATCATAGTGTAGAGGAACACATGCATACTTTGAAGTCAGAGTCAAGTAACAGCTGCATGCATAGGGATGGCCAGCAGGGCAGGATGTGCTATTGTGCTAGTCAAGGGAGCCAGAAAGAGAAGGTTCTAGGTTCTAGTGCTATCTGTACCACCCTCTGTCTCCACAGGACGTGAGGACACACACCCACAAGACAGCCTGCAACAACAGGAACAGACAACAGAGCAAACATCAGAAATCCTGGATTTTGGTTCCTAAACTGCCACTAACGCAAAATTAAGGCAAGGTGTCTGTTTCTCACTGATAAAATGAACATCACCTTTAAGGTCCTTCCATCTTGAAATTCTATAATAACTAGAATTATTTCAGTTTGTAGCAACTTATAAAAGTAATTGCCCTGATAATTTTATGAGTGATTTGGAAGTTATTTCTTTGTTCTTTAAAAAAGCTCACCAATTTGACATTCCCCCCTCCATCTTCCAACAAATCACAACCAAGACATTATTGTAAAGTGTCTTCTGAGATATTTTAATTCTTAAACTTGCACGCTGAGGACCCACAACTGCATAGACAATAGAGAAGAGTTTTCTAGACAGCAGCATGTAGTTTTTTCTAACTTTCCTGGGCTTCGGCAGCTTTTCTTTTCTCATAAAAGCTAGAAGTGTCACAACTACTGCAAATGTGCAAATCTCTGAGCCAATGTACTATCAATTTAGACTTTTCCACATGATACACTGATTAAAAACAAAAATCTCTAGTATGACTTGTAAGTTGAAGTAATAAAAATACTAAGGTCTTCAGAAAAATGTAAACAAATATTTTAAATGTTCTCTTTAAATGTTTTTTAATGAGAAGAGAGGTTCTAAAGTTTTACATTTGTTTATTATATATGTCTTAAATACAAAAGTAATATCAACACAAGGATGATATGGTATTTCATCTCATGGATTGCTGGGATATCAACAAATATGTCAACAAAAGAACATGAGAACTGAGTAACAGATATTCAAGTGTGTGACAAAGGCCATGGCAAAAAGTTACCTACAAGTACTGCAATATCAAAATGGACCTAACCCTTAAACACTTACCTGGTGACATCTAGAGCCTTCTGGACTTTTGCTTGCACAGATCCAAGTAAATCTGCTCCCATTTTCTTAAGTAATTGTGTGAGAAGAACAAAAAGCCAGTCTTGCAAGTCATCCTTATGAATTATTATAAAATCCACAAGAGTCTCCAAAAACATACTGAAAACCTAGACACAAATGAAAACCAAGTACTTCATATGTTGAATTCACAATTTCCTCCAAAGCCTACAAAACATTCAAAATGACCATGCGTGCTTTGCCCAGCCTCTTCTAACTTAGGTTAACCCTGTTAACGACTGTTCATAGCACAGAAGGAAAATGTAGTGCAGAAAACAAAGGAAAAAGAAATGGAACTTACTCTCTGTTGTGAATTCCACCGCAAACCAGGCCATGCAACAAAACAAATTCCATGTTAGTTGGCAGTGAATTAATACAATTTTCATGCGTTTTTTTTTTTTTTTTAAAGAAAACCTGAAAAGGCTACAAACGGATGAAATATTCTCTCCTCCCTCAATATAAGCCTTTAAAAGGCAGTACAGAGAGAAATTAACTATTTTAATCCTGAAGGTTTTCTTTCTTAAACAACAAATCCTCGTCCTAATGCTATTCTTATTCACTAACAGTCACCAAACGCTATTATAAAATGAGCTCATAAAAACAACTACTCACTATTGTGTAGCTGCTGCTTTTCACATCAGACATTTTGATGTATGCCTATTTCAGATATTATAAAGTAATAGATGATTACAGCTTAGAATAAAATATATTAACATAATTCTCACGCTGTTGTGTAATGATTTTTGCTTAGGTGAAATAAAGTCCATAGTGGAATACCTCTGAACCAATTTCAGAGAGAAAAGTAGCACTGAGTTTCCCTACCTGGTTTTTTTTTTTTTTTTAAAATATGGAACGCTTCACGAATTTGCGTGTCATCCTTGCGCAGGGGCCATGCTAATCTTCTCTGTACCATTCCAATTTTAGTATATGTGCTGCTGAAGCGAGCATGTTTTCCTACCTTGTTAATGAAACTTGTTCTACTTTCTAACCACCTCATTTCTAGCACAGCAACTATTCACCACCAGGGGCCGCCTGTGAGACAGCTCAGGAAAAAGGTCATTCAGCCCTAGCTATGGGATTCCTGGCTTAGCTTACAGGCAGCTAAAAAATAATAACTAAACTGAGACCTCCAAACTCACTGTACAACAGACTTCTGATGGAAACAAATTTCCTTCTTTATCCTCACATTCTGCTTCTGAATCGGCAATCTAGGGGTGACAGGTAACAGAAATTTATCAATGTCCTAAACCATCTAATAGCTCTTACGTTATAAATCTTAAGACTCTAATTATGCTTATGCATTAAATCTTACTGCTTTTAACACTACCGTAGAGAAAAATCTTGATAAATTTTATCTTTGGATATCTATGTGGCCTTTAGGCTCAGTCTTTCTTGGATTTTTATTGAGACTCATTCTGCTATCCAGGCTGGAGTGCACTAGCACATTCTCAGCTCACTGTAACCTCCACCTCCCAGGTTCAAGTGATTCTCCTGCCTCAGCCTCCTGAGTAGCTGGGATTACAGGCACATGCCACCATGCCCAGCTATTTTTTGTATTTTTAGTAGAGACAGGGTTTCACCATGTTGGCCAGGCTGGTCTTGAACTCTTGACCTCAAGTGATCTGCCCGCCTTGGCCTCCCAGAGTGCTGGGATTACAGGCATGAGCGCCTGGGGAATTTTTATTAATATTGTTAATGTTGACTTTGCTGTGAGGGTCATCGCAGAAAATTTAAGACATGCTTCAAGACTGATAGTGAGGAGAGCTGCTGTGGGAGGAGGGGAGGAGAACCCTTGCATTCGCTCCCCTTTGCTCTCATGAGCACCTCAAAATGCTGCAGCCATATCTTGCTTTCTGTATCCCTACCCCAGAGCAGTTACTCAGTAAATGTTAAATGACTGGGTGAACGAATGGGTGGATCAATGTTTCATATTTCAAGGATAATAACTGGCTGGACTTTCTGGCCATCACAGGTTTCTTTCTTCCGGCAAGACTTGAAGGAGACCATCTTTACTAGGAAAACTGTAGTTAATCCTGCATGTCAGCATTAAAGATCTGCTGCTTATTTACAGTTCTATCCATTTCTGTACTTCACCTCTGTCCTTTACCCCTTTCCCTGTATTTTCACCCCGCTCTCCACTTTTTTCCTTTAAAAGTATCTGATAGTCTCTAAGGGTCTTCTCCCAAATAATGGTATTTATTTAAAATCTAGACTCCAAGTAAACTTTTGTAAAGAGTCCCTCTCTCACCCTGGAAAGTGTTCTGTCCCGTACTCATTGGTGTTTCCCCCTCAGCTGGGACTCTCTTGTCAAAAAAAAAAAAAAGCATTCCTCGGGCTTAGTGTTCCCTTTGGCCCTCAGGAGGTATGGGCACCAGCTAAGTGATCACCACTCAGCAAGTTCTTGGGAACAGCAAAATCCTATTTTAAGAAATAACCTGGTTTTCCAATAAATCCATTAAATTAAATACTTTCATTTTTCTATCTTGTCCTATGAGGATATACTGATACAAAAATAATTATATATTTATTTTTCTTCATTACTCTAACATCAAAACGTGCATGACATTATAATATAATATTATACCCTAGCACCTACCTCACTGTTTGGCTAACGGGAGACATACAAAAATATAAGAAAGACCATCTGATTCTCTCCCTGATAACTCTTACTTGAAGCACACTTATTTAACTTTAAATTTTATGCACATTTAAGTTTCCAAGAATTCTGTTTTTAAAAGGTGTAACATAAACTAGTGCTGAAACTGGTGTTACTCTGTAAGGTCGGAACTGCCCCACAGGGAGTTCTCTCTCATTCTTGGGTAGTGTATCACACAGAGCACACAGGCATGCAGGGGGGAAGATAAGGCAGGCATGACTTCCAGACTTACCTTGCTATGAGGATCAGCAAACATCCGGGTGAAAATCTCACACAATCTTTTCAGTTCAACTCGACTAGAAGAAACAAAACAGAAATCAATGAATTTATTACTTTTATTATTTTTGAGACAGGGTCTCACTCTATCACCCCAGCTGGAGTGCAGTGGTGTAATCATAGCTCACTACAGCCCTGATTTCCCAAGCTCAAGTGATCCTCCCACCTGAGCCTCCCAAGTAGCTGGGACTACAGGTCCGCACCACCACGCCTGGCTAATTTTTTTGATCAGTCAACTATGTAAGCTTTACATAATTTATATCTACATAACAATGTCTTTTCACAAACTCTTATTTATGGCTAAACCAAACAGGAAGATAAAACAAGAGATTTGCTCTCATCTTAAGATGAGGAAACTGAGACTGAGTGGGGACAAGCTCATGTATCTGGAAGTGATAAAGTTATGCACCAAATCCTTTTCATTTTATCCCAGCTGTGTTTTCTACATGCCACAACTGAAAAGCAATGAAATAAACTTTAAAAAGCAGGTCTATCCTGCATTGTGATGAGAGGTAAAAACAAAAAAAGGGAAAAAACAGAACAGCATGTGTTTCAGGGTCAGACAGACCTGGATTTTAATCTCAGTTCTGCTGTAAATAAGGCACTTCGGGCTGGGCGCTGTGGCTCATACCTGTAATCCCAGTACTTTGGGAGGCCAAGGCAGGTGGATCACCTGAGGTCAGGAGTCTGAGACCAGCCTGGCCAATGTGATGAAACCCTGTCTCTACTGAAAATACAAAAATCAGTGGGGCATGGTGGCAGGTGCCTGTAATCCTAGTTACTCAGGAGGCTGAGGCAGGAGAATCTCTTGAACCTGGGAGGCAGAGGTTGCAGTGAGCCAAGATCATGCCATTGCACTTCAGCCTGGGAGATAAGCGAATCTCCATCTCAAAAATACATAAATAAGTAAGAAAGTACTCTGCTATCTTTAAGTCTGTGTTTTTCCTTATTGGTCAAACAGGATAAGGACTATGTCACGTGGTTGCTGAGAGAATGAAAATGGATAACACATTGTACCTTCTACTGTTCCTAGGACAAAGCAAACACTCATTTCACATTGGTGCCCTCTGCCTTTTCTGGTCCTTGACTACCACTGAGTCCCATGTTTAAAGTTTGAGAGAAAGGTCTTCTTTTCAGCAAATCATCCCTGAGTAATCACCCCCTTTTATGTGGATAAACAGTTGGTTCAAGGACCCGTCAATATTGTTAATAATGCAACCTAGATTAGAGTAATGCCAATCAACAGATTTCTAGAGATTATTCAATGGGTACTTGGTGAACACTAAGAATCTACAAAGTGGGACCACCAGGATTAAACATATTCTTGAGGAACAACAGCCATAAATCATCTTTTCTTTCTGACAGGTCACCAGAGTGTCACAGGATGCCTGCATCTCAGAAGGCACATGACAAAACTTCCTGTATCATCTTCACGAACAAACGAATAATGTGGGGCAGATTTGAGTACAGGAGGGTGGAGTCAGACTGTCTGAGGAGCCACTGTGAGGGCTGGGCGACTCATTAGCCAGTGCCCACTTCGCTTTCCAGAACCCAAGAGGAATTCCTATCTATGACAGCTAATTTACCTTACAAAAATTATCCAAAGGATAAAGTAGATTGCATTTCATGTATTCCAAGTTGCCCATTCCTTTTTTTTTTTTTCCTAATTTTTGTTGTTGTTGTTTTGTGTTTTTTTTTTTTTTTTTTTTTTTTTTTTTTTTTTTTTTTTTTTTTTTTTTTTTTTTTTTTAGTAGAGACAGGGTTTCACCATGCTGGCCAGGCTGGTCTCGAACTCCTGACCTTGTGATCCACCCACCTCGACCTCCCAAAGTGCTGGGATTACAGGTGTGAGCCACCACGCCTGGCTAGTTGCCCATTTCTTACTTCCCATTCACATCTCCTTTCTCTTGTTTTAACTTTCTCTGTAATTGAGAGTCATCTTATAATCAATGACATATTTGTACTGTCATGGCTTAACAGACAGCATTTATTAAAGGGCTATAAAAATAAGGGTGTCTATGGTGCCTTAGATTTGACAAAATATGGTATAACCATATACTTTTTTGGTATGTGTAATACATGCTTATTTTAGAAAATTTATGAAACAGAAACAAAGAAAAAAGCAAAAACAATCCATCTAAGAGACAATGCTGTTACTATTTTGAAGGGCTCCATTTTGTTATCTCCTTACTATGTACATTTATAAGCTACACATATGCACACGCATATCAAAATTTTCCAGACTGAGACTGAAACATTTTATCCAGGACCCTGAACCATACTAACCTGCAGAGTTGTTTTTTTGTTTTTTGTTCTACCTGAATTGCATACTGTACACCAAAATTTCTCAAGTAATATCTACTGGACAAATATGAAACATAAGAGAACAAAATACGTGGTCTGTTTTTTTTTTTTTAAGACAGGGTTTTGCTCTGCCACCCAGGCCGGAGCACAGTGGTATAATCATAAATCACTGCCAATTTCCAACTCCAGGGCTCATGTAATCCTCCTGCTTCAGCCTCCGAAGCAGCTGGGATTATAGATGCATGTCACCACATCCGGCTAATTTTTCACATTTTTTGTAGAGATGGGGTCTCCCTTTGTTGCCCAGGCTGTCTCGAGCTCCTGCGCTCAAGTGCTCCTCCTGCCCTGGCCTCTCAAAGTGCTGTGATTACAGGTATGAGCCACTGTATCCATCCTAAATGTTTTATCAACCTAATAAATTGTAGAATATATGCCACATGGGCTGGGCGCGGTGGCTCACGCCTATAATCCCAGCATTTTGGGAGGCCGAAGTGGGCAGATCACGAGGTCAGGAGTTTGAGACTAGCCTGGCTAACAATATGGTGAAACCCCATCTCTACTAAAAAATACAAAAGTTAGCCGGGTGTGGTGGTGCATGACAGTAGTGCCAGCTATTTGGGAGGCTGAGGTAGAAGAATCGCTTGAACCTGGGAGGTGGAGGCTGCAGTGGGCCACAATCGCACCACTGTACTCCAGCCTGAGCAACAGAGTGAGATTCCATCTCGAGAAAAAGAAAAAAAAAATATTTGCCAGATATTTCAAAGCCTCTGGATGGCAAGGACTAATGACTAAATGCCGGTTCCTGCAAGCGGACCTCTTGAAGACTGTTAATTATAGGGAATCCCTTTAAGCCCCTGAGGAGTCCAACAGGGGATTCAAACTTAGCTCATATTCTTGCTGTGGTCCTCACCTCAGTGTTCTTTGGCTCTTCAGTAGGTTCTGCAGGCCCAGAAGCCCTTCTTTCCTTTCTGACCAGTTTGAACTAGCACAGTGGTTGAGAACTTCTGCTACATCCTCGGTCTGCCGCAGATAATGGGGAATGCCACCATTCCTGGAGCCATACGAGCGCTCAGAGCAAACACTCGAGGCATCACTGTTGGCATCGTCGTCAGAATACATCCCATACGGCTCATACCTCCTCCTCACAGGCTTCTTCTGATAGGTCCAATGAGGGGTGGGAGTGATTGAGGACAAAATAGAAAGGTGAAATGACCGTGAGTCGTATCAAACAAAATCTACAACAAAGAGTTAAGTGTAAAAAGATACATGTACAGACACACTTTTCCTGTGCTTATAGATTAGGGAAATAAAAACAGAAAAGCAGTTTTCTGTTAGGTAAAATAACTAATAAGCAAAGCACTCTGTAGTAGAGGGGAAAGAGTGTGGCCTCTGGTAAAGTGTGTGGACTTTACAGGAAGACAGGCAGATCACAATCCTGGTGCCAACACTGACTGGGCTGTGTGACTTCTGAAAGCCTCCTAAGCACTTTGCTGCAGTTTCTCCATCTTTAAGACAACAACAGTTATGCCTATCATAATACAGGCTTGTTGTGAGGATTAAATAAAATTACATGTTAAATATTCCAGCTGGGCACCTGGAACACTGCAAATATGCGCAGCCAACAGCCCCTTCCCAGTCAAAAGCAATATATCCTGAGCACAGTCTATGGGCAAACTTTTTTGAATATTTATGTTTCCTATAAAAGCCAGAATTTGAAATGTCAGTGGCAGTGGTTCACATAAAAGAATTCCTAGGTCTTCTCCCTCTGTCGTGCAGGCTGGTTTTGAACTCCTGGCCACTTGCATTAAAGATTTAGGGTTTTCAAACACGAATAGGCTTCTTTTAAAGTAGACTATAATACCCACTTTATTCATTTTACCGACCCTGAATACAAAACTGTTATACCCATAAATATGACAGAACAGCAACTATATAGAATTTTAAAAAGCAAAACAAATAGCTATTGGCTTAAACCATACAAATACACTTCTCTAATAATATGGCGTATTATTATTAATCCAATTTTCTCAGGACTGCTCTGCCTTAAGCGCACCGTCATAACATAATTATTAATAGCATCCCCCTTTCACTCCCAAAAGCATTTTTGTTTGGATAACAAATTACATGGGCACATATAAACCAGACTCCTAAAATAAGAAAAGTGTTGATAAATCCATTCATGAAATCATGACGACGTAAGAATAGGCATAAATTGGGTTAATAAAATGAAACACTACTAGAAGCGGCAGCAGAGCTTGACATTTAAAATAAATACTGAAACAGATGTACATGAAAGGTGACTGACTCCACCATGACACAACAATGATGGTGAATCACTGTTACAATTCAACAAAATCATATAAACCAGAATTTCTATACTATACCATATTTTTTTGTTTTCACTAGCTTCTAAAAGAAATATACTTGCAACAGAAGCAATACAGTTGTAAAACAAAAGTTAAAGCACTGGTACCTTGCTCCTGGAGTCTCCTAACAGCTGTAGGCAGGAAAATATTGAAGGTTGGGGAAAAAGCATAGAGAATTATGTCAGAAGCATATGTAGGGATTGTTCTTGCAACAAAAGTATACAGCAAAACATATCTTAGCAAACCAAAAATACAGGTTAGCAAGCGTTTCATATCAAGCGAATAATAATAAAGAATGCTGTCAAAATGGCATTTTCTAACCCTCCTTCGCGTGTCAGAAGACCTTCTGGTAACTTGCTATAATTCTTTGCTAAAACTTTTCCCATACCAGTGAGGCAAATCTCTAAGGTCACCATTAATTCTACTATCTATTTCTCTGAGACATTCTGTCTGGCCCCGTGCGTCTATTCAGTGAGGCAAGGATTCTGTACCATTTCTGTGTTTTCTCTTCAGAAGCAGGTCACTTGGAGAGACTAAATAGTTTGGACAAAAAGTAACAAGGGCAGCATGAATCTAATGGGAGTTAGAGCTCAGAGAAAAGCTCAAGTCAAGCTGAGCCAAAGCTCAAACTCTCAAGTCCTATTCTGCCTCCTAGAACTTTACACACAGTCCCTTATGAGTTCTTTAAAGAACTAAGAAATTTCCTTGACTTAAGTGGAAGTCTCAACCAAGGGTTTCACATCCATCATTTCCCATTCCTTTGACCTCTACTTCCCAGGGTCTCTGAACAAATAAGAGCCAGATTCTAAATTCTGCAACTTGGAAGGACAAACAGCTTCAGAGAATTTTGTTCCAGCTCTTGACTTTTAAAGCCATGGTTAGAGCAGTTACCCTGAACTCTAGCACCTGCTAGAAAAAAGTCCTTCTATACATAAGGATGAGGAATACAGCTGGCCAGGCAGTTTACCTACAGGAAAAGCATTACGAGAGCAGCAAACTGCTTGCTCACAGACACCTGTCAAAGAACCTGACTGAGGAAGAATAAATGAAGGCAAGAGAAGAAGGAATGAAAACTGGAATCGCCATAGCCATAAACTATAGAACGGTGATCTGATAAAACATGGCTGGATTAAAAACTTCAGAGTCTAAAAGCAGAATATTACATACTTTTTTTCCTTACAAGAGAATAAATCTCAAAACAGCAAAAGCAAGGCCAATGATCAGAGAGTTCTAAAGAACACCCATTTCAAATGCTGAGCACATAAACTGGAATATGCAAGAGACCGTGTGACTAGCTGAAATGCATCTTTAAAAAGCACTTGGACCACAAGCTGATTCTACCAAGGAACTTTCTGGTATAACCAAAACATTAAAGGATCCATGATCATTTATGTTTTTCAGATATTACACTATAATGATGCAAAAACATATTCTACCATTGCTTCCCATCCTCAAAGAGTTAGGAAAAACAACATAAAATCATACAGACAAGGTAATGGAGTAAATGCAAGATTTTCAAACCTCAACCTCTATTACCTACTATTATGAAAAATGTCTAGGTTATGCCATCAAAATCTGTAAAGCAATAGAAGCAACAGAATGGAAAAAAAGAAGTGCATAATGGGTGCTCAGAACTGTCAATAGTTGTTTT